GTAGGCCTAAACTTAATTTATGCCTTACTTCTCCCTGGATAATAAATAGCCGATCACGAAATTCTTGCACAACCTGAGCTCTGTTAGCTACATCAACTGAAACACATGGAATGTTGGATAATTTGGTTGTGGGTAAAATAACACACCCATCTATATATATATATATATATATATATATATAATATCGCTCTATGGCCTTTGGGTCATATTGAGCGCTCTACAGGATGAGCCATGCCGCTTACGCATTGCGCATAATATATATATATATATATATATATATATATATATTCATATATCTAATAATTACTTTAGCTTAGGCCTACTCTATTTCTAATATGTCCGGAAATAGATAAAGGCGAGGGCCTAGATTTTGGCCGACACTAAATTATAATGATATATTATTCATTGTCATAATAAACAACAACAAATTGAAAATTTTACACGAAAATTGTTATACCAAAATACACGTACCGGCAACGGAGTATAGGATTTGGACATGCATAGGGAGGAGGAGGGCTGCCAAAAGATCTGTCCACGCGGGAAGTCAAAGTTGAAAAGGTTGAAGAACAGGTGTTCTAACGAATACGAGTGTTGTGTTGTGTTGTGTTGTTTTGAAAGGGGTTGTAACGAAGGTTGACTCTCTGTAAAAGTCACAATAAACTTAGTTTCTTAGCATTGAGCTTCGTGTTGTTATCAGCCATCCACCGAGCAATATCATCAATTTCTTGTTGTGAAGTTGAGGTACTTCTAGTTGGATACAACCTTGGAGATTGTGCAGTCATCGACAAATTTGTGCATTGAAATGCTGTTATCAAATCATTTACCATCGCCAAGAAAAAAAGAGGGCCCAATTGAGTTCCTTGTGGTACGCCGACATTAGTAGTTTTCCGGGCAGATTTTAACTGGCCCAATTTCACATGTTGCTGTCGATTCTGAAGAAAGCAAAGTGTGAACATTGTATGGGGGGGGGGGGGGTTATAATGCACCTGAAGCCTATTCTTCCCCGGTGCTTACAATAACAACGCCGAAAGGAAGCATAGCCAAATAATTCACTGTTATTGAATTTTATTAAACAATTTTAATATTTTTTGTGGCCATTACAGTAAAGTAAAAGAGTAAAAGAAAGAAATGGAAATTGATCATTGTGTATAATGGTTAAAATAATCTGGCCACAATAGGCTTCGTTCACTCGCGTGTATTCCTCTCCCACTTTCAAACACACTCCGTGATCACTTTGCTATGTGCATGATCAGTCTTTATAAATTATGAAAGAACATCCAGATCAACATGCAGATTAACATACTTGTGCAATAAGTTAGTAAATTTTTATAATAAGTTTCGACGGAACTTTTTGAATTTCATGCATTCGAAAATAATTTACACGAAGTTTGTAAATTTCGGTAACGACGTAAGTAATTGAAAAATTAAGACATTTTGATACTTGTTACAAAACGGGCTTGTTACAACTTTACGACAACATCAACTTGTCAACAAGTTATTCCAATAAGTATAAGCACGATATGGAACATCCACTATGTGAATAACAATTTGATCTATTCTTACTCGGTTACTCCCCCACCCGCCCCTTCCCCTTACATTGTTGATTCAGTAAAGGACCTACACACGGTGCTCTCTGCAATCGACTGCTGTTGAACGCAATTTTCCAGGAACGTACTACAGCCAACATGTTTATCTGGAAGGACTTTTTCTATGGATTTTTTGTAGGTGATTCATTAGCTTTTTGCCAAGATTGTAGCTTGTTTACTTATAACTTGTTAACATACAGCAGTTAAGAATTCAAGCGCTTACAAGGAGCTACAGTCTCTCAAAAGCCCTCCGCCCCCCTCTATAGGCGGATGAAAAGACGTGCATGGGGGTGCAACTTGAGAAATATGGAAAATTCCTTTTTTTCTAACATCTTCAATATTAGTGCTTTTTAATTAAGCCCTTAAATTAAAACAAACGAATCCGATATACCGAAGCTATCAGTTCAATGTTGGGCCATCCAGGTGATTTAATGGTAGATCAGGGCGCCTAGGCCTTTCACATAAACAGACAAAATATATTTTTCTACTTTCAGCACCAGCTAATGAGTACAGAACATGGGATTGGATTGGCTGGGTGACGATTGATTACCGTCGAGCCATCTGCACTTGTGATTCAGTTGCTGCGAAATGTTTTGCAATGAACGTTTACAATCATGCGCATGATTCCTATGATAAATCTAAATGCGTCAATGACACAAATGTATTATTTTAAACGACAATTAGATTGAATTCGTAGACTAACAATGCAATTCTGCACTCGTATAAAGCGAGTTATAAAGCGTAGGAAATATAAAATTAATTTGAAACTAAACATCATGCCCTGTTGTTGGAGTCGAAATTCGTATATATAGAGTCCCTGTCGTCTGTAGAAATTCTCATTTGGAGTGATTAAAAATGGCGTATATGCGTTACACCCAACAGCCATGCTGCACCGGCCAATGAACTGACAACCTTTACGTTATCCTCACCATTTTACAGATCCTCCCTGCAGAATTATCTGACACCAACTGACAACCTTACACCATCTGACAGACCTTCCATACAGAACCATCTGACGCCGTCTTACATCATGCACACAGCAACCATGCCACCCAACGACCTGACATCATCTGACAGCCCTGTTCAATTGTAGAGCTGACCATCTTCATCATAATCTGAAAACAGAGGGTTGTATTCGACATAACCCATGTTGCATGGAGGGCCAGCCCTTCATTTCTCCCTAATCTATGTAATTGTTCCATGTACGATTCGGCCCAGTTAACTACATGTGCTGGAAGTGATTCCGGGTTGAGAGCTCTCTATGTATAGTAAACCTATTAGGAAACCGCGCCGATCATGGTTATATATCTATCGTTGTTTATATCGGCGGAATCTTTCTGCGCTGATGTTGAGGACTAACGCAACGGAGGACAAGATGTCAATTGTTGTTTGTTTTGTATATTTCCTTTACTTCCACCTGTATGGAGGAAAAGAATGGGAAAATGGCTAAGAACCATCTCAATAAGTATATCTTTGTAGCACTGGATTTTTTGCTGCCATGTTGGTGTAGGAGGTGCACCAATAAAGATTATTTTATCCAAAATATTTTATTCTTCTTGAATTTCGATTAAAACTCAGTTCTTGCCTTAGCCGTGGGTATCAAAACAAGTTTGTGTATCTAAAGACCATGTTACACGAGGCAAATTTTGTTGCAACTTGCAACACAATTTCTGATCTAGAGTGATGTTATCTTAAAAAGTGTTATTGCGGCTCAACCTGTTAGCGGCCATTTTTTGGGCCGAGTAGATCAATAGATCTAAAAATGTATATTTGATCCCTCCGTATATTTGAACCATCCCGTTGGAAGAATCCTTAGCTTCCTTTATTTGATTCTGATTGGAAATGTACCAACCAAGGTATTTTTATCTTTTTTCCGTGGATTTTGGTTAAGACAAAAATAATAAAAAAAGCCCACAATACCATGGTGTGACACTACTATTATGATTAAAAGCAAGCTACGTTTTTGACAACACGAACTGTAATCACATATGTAATTTATCTGTGACACGAACGTCACACGTACATAATTTAACCGTTATTAATTATTGTAATCGTCAATTATGCGTCTCAGCAATTTGTGCTTGACATCATGAACGGCAGTCAATGTAGTTTCACGTTTGCGTTTTTAAACATAAACAGCTGTCGCTAACCTAAATTAGTTGATCTAAATTAATTATGTATTCACTGCGATGAACTAATTATAATACTTAGTATAAGAATTGGTTGAAAGATATAATTGGTTCTAAAAAAATCTCAACTCTTGTATTTAATGGAAGAGGAAAGCAACTTTATTTTGCTTATGGCGAATGAACGTTGCATGGTTGCCTGGGGCCATGCCGTTGTACAAATGAAACTCTTAACTATACTATAATTTAACTATACCCATTTTGTAGTTTAATTAAGGCCGTTTCCACTAGGCGGAATTTCGCTTTGTCTTGTGATTTCTCGGATCTCGGGGATTAATCAAGCCAAGTGGTTAACTTTAATCAAGTATTTAAGTCGGTTGTATAAAAGTGTAGTTAGCGTTAATTGCAGTTAAAAAGTAGTTTTTAAAAGTATATAGTTAAAGTTAACTCAGTTAAAAATGGCGCTTTTAGGAGTGAACAATATCGAAAAGCAACGATGAGTCGGTGACCTAAAGTCGGATTTTCAATCGCTATCTTCCCTGTGAATGTTTCCTGACAGTTATAAATGCTTCAAACGCTATTGCTGCATCGTATTGTTTTTATTTGGACAAAACAGAATATATTTTTGCACAGGCAGATTTCTCAAAGACGAAGTAGTGTAGGGCCCACGCATTATACACGAATAAACATAATATAAATAATTGCCAAACAAACCAATTGCGAAACTTAGTGACCGCGCCTTAAACTGCACGAAAACGAGGCTTATTATGCAAAAACAAATCATTCTGCTATATTTTTATATGGCGAAAAATGAATTTCAGTGTTTGAGACGCGTTTTTATGGTAATCTCTTCATTTTTTTTCAATATTATTAAACTTGTTCATAGATTTAGTCTTACTTCAAATTTCACTGTTTTCCGCGCGGCGTGCGAGGCAAAGTTTTGCTGTTTTTCGCGTCCGATAAAAAAAGCAGATTATACCAGAGAAAGAATCAGGTATTTTCCGTCTGTTTTATTAATACATTTTAAAGAATAAGTTGTAACATTGATTAATTTTGTTTCAGTTGTAATATAATAGCAAGTTTTCGATTTTAACTTTAAAAATATGAAAGTAAATGTCGGGCAAAATTTGTAGAAATTTTATGTTATTATCCTTTGACAAAATATAATCTTTTTTTTTCTCGCACGAAGTGTAAAAAAATCTGGGTAGAAAGAGTTATATTTTAGTCAGTTAAGTTATACTGGCTATTTTATTTGCATCTTGATCAGATTTTAAAGTCTAGATTGATCTTTTCCATATGTTTGTTCCATCGCATGCTAAAACAACAACGAAATATCTCTCCAAAGCGGGTAAAAATATGGTGGGAAATCAATGTTTAGATAAATTTAACAAATATTTATATAACCTAGCACGAAATATTAAGAAAAGATCAAAGAAAGTCAAGAAAAAACACTTTAAAAACCCTAAAATTCACTTTTCGCTGATATAAAAATATAGAAATTGTTTTGTTTTTACATAATAAGCCTCGTTCTCGTACAGTATGAAGGCGCGGCCACTAAGTTTCGCAATTGGTCTATGTAGCTGACGTGACCTAATGTTTTCAACGGGCTGATGGCGTGATTGGATGTTGAAACCTACAATCCTGGTAAAAAATTCTTGGCGCACTTAGTCGAATTAGAATAACCTTTACTTCATTTCTGATTACCATATAAATACTTGCCCAATTGATGCAAAATTTCATGTACAAGCACCCCCTATCCCCCTTATCAATGTTGTGTAACACCTTGGACGTATAACACACTACAGACAACATTGAACGGGGGAAAGGAGGGTTGCTATCCTTGTTATTGAAGTGGGAGTCAAATTTCGCACAGTTCGTACGTGTCAAGTGCGCCAATATTTTTTACCAGGATTGTAGTTGCAAACCAAATTCTCAAAAACGGCATGTTTAGCAATAATACAGCTAAACATTTTAGTCAAAGAGCAAATGAATATAACCACGCCATTCAACGATTAAATCTCTAAGTATTCCCAGTCAATTTTAGCAAATATTTCAAGCACTAAACAGTGAAAAATGCATCCCAAATTTCGTTAAAATTGGGGACGCCAATTTCGTAGCTACAGATGTAAAAAAATACAAAACAAAGACGAAAAACATTTACCTTGAATACTTTGATGTGGCTTAGGCATGTTTTTAAAACAATTATACCAGTTTATGCTCAAATATTACTCTTTTAAAGCGGAAAGTATAGCGAAATAACAAAAATGCCGAGAACTTTGCAATACGCGTGACGTCACAGATTGCAACCAGCTTGTTTTTGCTTACGTCAGCTAGAGTCCTAGCCTCCTGCGCAGACGTTGTTAGTGGCCGAGGCCTCACCTAACGTCTGCTCACATTCGCTATACATTTGACTTCCCGGCAATTAACCAATCACAGTCATCTGCACGATAATTAGAAGATCGACCTTCAATGACCTTCACACGCATGGGCCATTTTATATCAACAAGTCTGCAGTATT